ATCCAAACATCTACAGCCAACTCATATTTGATCAAGTATCTAAAACCAATTCCTGGAGCAAGGACAGTCTATTCAATAAATGGTGCTGGGAAAATTGGATTTCCATGTGCAGAAGCATGAAGCAAGACCCCTACTTTTCACCTTACACAAAAATCCACTCAACATGGATTAAAGACCTAAATCTATGACCTGACTCCATCAAATTATTAGAGAACATTGGAGAAACCCTGCAAGATATAGATACTGGCAGACTTCCTGGAAAAGACCCCAGAAGCACAGGCAGTCAAAGCCAAAATTAACATATGGGATTGCATCAAATTGAGAAGTTTCTGTACTGCAAAAGAAACACTCAGGAAAGTGAAGAGGCAACCAACGGAATGGAAAAAATTTTGCAAACTATGCAACAGATAAAGGGTTGATAACCAGAATCTACAAAGAAATCAAAAAACTCCACAACATCAAAACAAACAAACCACTTAAGAGATGGGACAAGGACCTCAATAGACATTTTTCAAAAGACGAAATCCAAATGGCCAACAGACACATGAAAAAATGTTCAAGGTCATTAGCAATCAGGGAAATGCAAATCAAAACCACAAGGAGGTTTCACCTCACCCTGGTTAGAATGGCTTTCATACAGAAATCTACCAACAACAGATGCTGGCGAGGATGTGGGGAAAAAGGGACACTAACCCACTGTTGGTGGGAATACAAACTGGTAAAGCCACTATGGAAGTCAGTCTGGAGATTCCTCAGAATGCTGAATATTACCCTACCATACAACCCAGGTAAGGTGTTAGTTAATGGGGTCAACACTATTGCATAGTAGGTTAAGCCTCCAACTGTGGTGCCAGCATCCCTTATGGGTGCCAGTTCATGTCCTGGCAGCTCCTTTTCTGATCTAGTTCCCTGGGATGGCCTGGGAGAGCAATGGAAAAATGCCCCAAGTGCTTAGCCCCTTGTACCCATGTGGGAGATCCAAAATAAGCTCCCAGCTGCTGGCTTCAGATTGGCACAGTCCCAGTCATTGCAACCATTTGGGGAATGAACCAGTTGGTGGGAGATCTTTCTCTCTGTCTCTTTCTCTCTCTCTCTCTCTCTCTCTGTAACTAATCCTCTCAAATAAATACATATTTTTTTTAAATGTGTTAGTAAAGAGACCAATTTCTTAAACTCTTCCTTTACTCTTGCCATTGAGCTTATGTCTTGGTGTCAGGAAAATCTTTGGGCTTTATTTATGACAATCCAGATTTTCATGTCCCCTGCCTTTAAGTTACTTCCTGGTCACCCTCACTAACCTCCACATACAAGAAATAAAAGAGGTAAGACAGCCTGGAGCCTGTACTTTGTGAACATCTCCACTGTTAAAGAACAGAGTTCAGCTCAACGACTGTCCATCCACTTTCAAACCATAGCTCCATGTGACTTCTCAATCCTAAAGGATGACTTGGCATGTGTAGACTAACTTTTTTGATTGCTATTGCTCTGGTGCTAATTCTGACTTCCTTTTGTCTCCAATTAGTAGTTGCCTCCTTGACTAGCCACCATTATTCAAAAATTTCTCCCATGAACTATGACAAGGACCTACTTTGGTTTTGAGGAATCCCCAATTCTAGCCTAAACAGTGCTATTAACTATCTTAATAGCACGTCTAAGCTTTGTAAAACCACCATGATTTGATCGTCCCAACAGTTCTTACAGTCAGGATGTAGCTTCCATTTAGAAGATGAAGAAATGCAAGCAGAAAGAGGTCACACACGTGAGAGGGGCTTAATCTGGAGATTGTACTGTAATTAGGGTAAGTGGCAACCTTAAGGGACAGAAGTCTATGGTCTGCTTGACTAGCTGCTCTCCCTGTTGAGTGCTGATATCACTCTAATATGTTTCAGCTCTTTCATGTTTAGCTCCAGTCTTCACAATGGCATTTGTGATATAGGCTTGTTTGTTGGCACTTAGTATGGGTGAAGAATTATGAAATTTATGATTTTAATGTCAAGAATCCAGAGGGAAACTTTCAAATATTAATTGGCCCACATGTATCAACATCCAAGAATCATCAAATGAGAACATCTAGAGAAATACAGGAATAAGGATTGAATTTGCAAGTTTAGCCTGCCTGACTGTCAACAGAGGCTGTACCACAAGGGATGTAGTTTCATTCAAGGGAGGGTTAAGCTGCATTTATAGTTATACTCAAAAGGCCAGCAAGTCTTAGAACTTTTTCCTAAAGTTTCTAGAACACATTTTTATTTATGAGAAAGAGATAAACAGACAAATCACCCATCCATTGGTTCATTTTCCAAATGCCCACAATAGCCAAGGCTGTGTCAGGCCAGGTCAAAATCTAGGTTTCAATATAGGTGGCTGGCACACAACTACTTGAGCCATCACCTGTTGCTTCCCAGGATGCATATTAACAGGAAGCTAGAATGTGGAACAGAGCTGAGACTTGAACTCAAGCACTTTAATATGGAACGCAGATGCACCAAGCAGCATTTTAATTGCTATGCCAAGCACTCTCACTGAAGTCCTGTTTGATAGTAGGTTCTATGTTATCTCTAGAAACCTGGGACTGCCAAATCATGGTAGAAGGGCGATGGCATCAAAGCTACTGATCTAAATCACAGACAGCATTGCTGCTACAACTGGTACTTTTTATAGAAACTTTGATCAGCCCTCACCCTGACTGTTGATGAGCAACTTGATATGTTATCCCTCTTAGTATTTTTTTTGTTTGTTCTACTTAATACTTTTGGTTGAATATTGTAATCAATACACAATACTTCTGAAGTGCTGAAACTTAACTGAAAAGGGATCACTGTTAAATATAAGAGTGGGAATAAGAGAGGGAAGAGATGTGCAATTCGGGACATGCTCAAGCTGACTTACCTCAAATGGTAGAGTTGGAAACATACCAGGGGATTCCAATTCAATCCCATCAAGGTGGCATATACCAATGCCATCTCACTAGTCCCAGTGATCAATTTCTGTTCACAATTGATCATAATGATAGGACTAAGAACCAAAGGGATCACATAAACAAGAATAGTGTCTGCAAATACTAGCTGTTAGAATAAAAAAGGGAGAGAATGATCCAACATGGGAAGTGAGATACACAGCAGACCCATAGAATGGCAGATGTCCTAAACAGCATTCTGGCCTCAGAATCAGCCCTTAAGGCATGCAGATCCGGCTGAAAAGCCCATGAGAGTATTTCAGGCATGCAAAGCCAAGACACTCTGGGGGAAAAAAAAAAACCTAAATGAAAGATCTCCACGAGTGAGATCCCAGTGGAAAGAACGGGTCATCAAAGAAGGAGGTACCTTTCTCTGAAGGGAGGAGAGAACTTCCACTTTGACCTTGGCCTTGTCTAAAAATGATCAGAGTCAGTGAACTCAGGGGGCTTCCATACCCTTGGCAGCTCATGACAAGAGCCTAGGGTGATTACTGATGCCATAAACAAGGGAGTCAATTTGTTAAGTCAACAACAGGAGTCACTATGCACTTACTCCTCATGTAGGATCTCTGTCCTTAGTGTGCTGTACGTTGAGATTTAATGCTATAACTAGTACTCAAACAGTATTTTTCACTTTATGTTTCTGTGTGGGAGCAAACTGTTGAAATCTTTACTTAATGTATGCTAAACTGATCTTCTGTATATGAAGAGAAACAAAAATGAATCTTGATGTGAATGGAAGAGGAGAGGGAGTGGGAAAGGGGAGGATTGTGGGTGGGAGGGACGTTGTGAGGGGGAAGCCATTGTAGTCCATAAGCTGTACTTTGGAAATTTATATTCATTAAATAAAAGTTTAAAAAAAATAAATCTTAAAACACACACACAATTAGATAGTAGTAATCAGTCCTAGTGCTTTTCAGTACAGTGGGGGACGATAGTTCACCATAATGTTATTATATATTGTATAAGGAACTGGAATGGAGGAGCCAGGAAACTACAGGAATAAGGAATAGAAAATGGAAATGCTAATGACATGATTTGATAAGTTTATGCTATATACATGTGTTTAAATATTGCATGTTACCCCATAAAAATGTGTTAAGCATTAAATGTTAATCAAAATTTGTTTTCAATGAACATGGAATAAAATTAAAACAAGAAAATAAAATATATATATATATTAAAAAAGTACAACTTTTGGATTATAGCGGTTCTTTTCCCCATAACCACCCTCCTACCCGCAAACCACTCTTACTCCCTCTCCCATCCCATTCGTCACTAAGATTCATTATTAATTATCTTTATATGCAGTAAATCAACCCTATACTAAGTAAAGATTTCAATAGTTTGTACCCACACAGACACACAAAGTATAAAGTACTGTTTGAAGACTAGTTTTTCCGTTAATTCTCATTGTGCAACACATTAAGGACAGGGGTCCTACATGGGGAGCAAGTGCACAGTGTCTCCTGTTGTACAACTGGTACTTGAGCCTTGTTCTACTGATTCAGTTTTCTTTCTGCTGCATCCTTCTGTTTCTTGGATTTCTTTAAGACTGTTTCCCTATTAGTTAAATGAGAGATTGGAGTAGATGCTATTTAAGATTGTTAACAGTTCAGATTCTATGATCTTTTTCTTAGCAATATTCCACCATAGTCCTTATCACTTATCACTGCAAACACAAATGCTGCTTTGTCTCAATTACCCCCACTCTCCTCCGACCCAAGAAGATGAACCAAATGGGAAGTAGATATTCCTTCTCAGAACTTAATGGCAGCTTCAAACTTGAAGTCCCAGTGAGAAATCACATGCACTCAGTCCTGTCGTGGACCAAAGATCGTTATATTTGTTTACTTGAGGGCAGACAAGCCTCTCTTTAAACTTTAATTACCAAAGAATCAACGACTTCTTTTCTATATTGACTCCCTGAGTTAACATGGCATTTGTTTTGCTGCCATTACAACCCAATTTATTTTGTACCCTTTTCTTTCCATTTCCAGTGCCACCCTAGTGACTTATTGCATAGTATCTGAAAAATCCATACTTTTCTCAAGCAAGGTCAGAGAGCTGGTTGGAGACTCTTGGTCACCACTGGGTCAAGCATATGTTGCTTTAGAGAATCACTAATGACATCTGCCGAAAGAAAAAAGAATAAGTAATAATGTGGCCATCGATTTCAGGGGCAAGGAAAGAAGAGGCAAAAGCACAGTCAACCAGAGGAATCGGGAACAAGAGGTGCATCTCTAGCAGGGAGCAACACTAAGGAACATTTGTAATGAAAAGAGTTTGCCTGGACCCATAGAAGAGGCACATCCACTGTACTCCAGGAAGGGTGGTGGTTTCTGGGTAGAAATGAAGGCCAGGCCACAATTCATGATTCACAAATTGGGCTGTTGTTCACCCTTCCACGGGTTTAGTTCACAGCAAGGCTCCAACACTAAGCTCAGCCTTAATCCACTTGCCATTTTCTTCACTCATGTAAAAGCACACATCTGCTATACATGCTGCTGTAATACAGATGATTCCAGCTGACTTCATTTCCCAGTTTCCCACACCATGTCCTTTCACCATCTTTGACCCTAACCTCACATCACAGAAGTTTCCAACACACTCATATGAGTCATGTTCTGCATTTGTTAACTGGCTTTCATGATCAGAATCTCTACCCTCCCGATTCCAAGTGTCTCTCTCTCTCTCTCTCTCTCTCTCTCTACACACACACACACACACACACACATTTAATTTACAATTAGAACTTAATGGTTACGAATTTTGTCTTAGTGATTAATGACATGCCCTGAGATGACTATCAATAGGAACAAAACTGTTTCACAGTTCTTTTTTAAGAGTTCATTAAATTAACTTGGAGGAGGACCAGGAGCCAAGGAGTGGCATTCTCCATATAAAAGTACCCACAGAGGCTGGCAAGGAGGCTTTTTGACAAGGATAAGGCACAGCAGTCATGGAAAGGCACCAGGCAGCCCTCCTTTCGAGAAAATCTTGCTGTGAAGAGGACAATTAACTGGCAGACCCCCATCACTGTGCCTTTGTGACCTGTTGCAGCATTTGGATCAATAGCATGCCCTCTCTGAGCGTACTGAGGCTCCTGGAACCAACAGAAACCTACTCTGCACAGAATTCTCCCAAAAAAAAAGAGCTCTGTCTGTAACTCCCCTGTGGACATAATAAAATGTTCTGAGTTGCCTTGAAGTCACAGGATGTCTAAACCCAATTCTCCTTCCCCTCTCCTCTCCATTCACAGATGTCAGACCTCTGTCATGGTGTACTAACTTTCTTTTTCTGGTCCAGCCCCTTTTCTCTTATATTTTTATGACCTAAGCTTCTGAAAAAAAAAAAAAAAACTCTGGCAATTTTAATCCTGTCTCTTTATTAGACTCTTATAGATTCCAAATCAGCATGAAAGAGACAGTGATCCTGCCAGGGGACTAACTCATTTGCCATTTTCCCCTTCATGCCTTGTGAAATGAATGTGATACAAGCTCAGGTGTAGCATAGTGGGTTATGGTTGGGTTTGTGGTTAGGGTTACAGCTAGGGTTATATATGAGTTCCCACTACTGAGTCTCCAGGGATCAAGTCCCCCAGCTCAGTGAATCATTCATGAAGTGACCCCAATACCACCCCATCAAGCACATTCAGGTACCTTTTAGTAGAGAATAACAATTGTCTGATGCTTTCCCACTACTCTAACCTATATATATATATATATATATATAAAGTATTAGTTCTAATATTTACAGTACCTTGCAGTCCAGGCATTTTTTGTTTCTTTTTTAAACACTTTTATTTAATAAATATGAATTTCTAAAGTACAACTTTTGGATTATAGCAGTTCTTCCCCCCATAACCACCCTCCCACCCACAAACCATCCCATCTCCTACTCCCTCCCCCATCCCATTCTTCATTAAGATTCATTTTTAATTATCTTTATATACAGAAGATCAACTTAGTATATACTATGTAAAATTTCAACAGTTTGCACCCACAGACACACAAAGTATGAAGTACTGTTTGAGGAGTACTTTTACCATTAATTCGCGTAGTACAACACATTAAGGACAGAGATCCTACATGGGGAGTAAGTGCACAGTGACTCCCGTCGTTGATTTAACAATTGACACTTATGATGTCAAGCTCAGCCAGCAAAACTCTGCTATCAAATTCCCAAACCTATCTGGTATCCATGTAGCTGACTCTGTTGTCATTCAAATTTCAGCTCACACATGACCCTCTCAGAGAGATTCTTAATTGATATCTCATCTAATATTGCATTCTTTATCCCATGACCCTCTTCAATTTCTTCATGGAACTTATCACTCTTTGAAAAGGTTTTAGTTATACGTTTACTTGGCTGGTGTCGCTTTTCAACTCTTAAAAAACTCTACACTTCAGGAGAGCCATGCTCTGACTGTCTTATTCACTCCTGGGAGCTCAGAGCTTGCCACAGCACCAGGCATAAACTTGAACAAATGACAGACATGGCTCCTGTTGCCATGGAGCACGTAATCGAGCTAGCTTGGCAAGAATTGTGTGTAATTGCAGAATCGTTTGTAACCTTATTTGAGGACTCAGAATTCCAACTCAGAGAACTATACTCTTTCTGTCACCTCTGTATCCTTCATTTACCATTCCATTTTGCTGAGGAAAAGTATAGGTAGACGCAATCATGCCACTTTCACCCCAAAGGAAATTGCTTTTGGTGCTCATCTACATCTGTAGTCTAAAATTGTGATCACTTATCTTTATCAGTCATCAATTTTTGAACAGTCTTCCTCAGTGTGCTCTCATATATTTATTTATAAACAATGTGTTGCCACCATGTTGATGTACTACATGGATTTTTGAACATAATTGAAAATTGAAATGTAAACTGATGAGGTCAAAACAAATGGAATCAGGAATTCTGTTTTTTCCTCTTTTCCCCCTTTGGATTATCTTGTGCACATCCTAGGATGTGAATAGCATATTTAAAAAAAAAAAAAAAAAACACTGAATAAAGGAATTTTTACCTGGAAGTAAGAGGTTACCAGGAGTTAGAAATGGGAGATCACAGTACAAGGCGAAGCATGAGAGAATTCTGTGGAGTGTTGAGAGTGTCTAGATTCTATTTCTGGTAGAGGTAAAAAGAATCTTCCCAAGTGTTAGAGAATAGAGACACCAAACACAATTAATGTGACTATATGTAGATTTTTTTAAAGCTTAAATAAACAAAGAAAGGAATGTTGTTGTCCGTAAAAACTGGACGTTGTATTTTTCTGACCTGGTGAAAAATCCTGTTAAACATCAACTTTTCCCTCTGGAGAACAGAATCACATGAAAGCACAGGAAAAATGTCCCTTTATAACCATCTCATTGATCTTTGAACTCCACAGCTGATGATGGCAGATGGCTGCAACAATATCTCCCATTCCACATGCGTTTACACAATGTGCCCTTGCCCAAGAGGTGGAGTGCTCCATCCCTTGAATCTGGTTCCACCTTAATGACTCATTTATAGTTGATAACATCCGTGAACTTACAGGCTAGGTCAGTGAAGGTCATACAGCTCCTGGCCAAGTCTCTAAGGACATTTTCTCTCAAAGTCCAAATCCCACACTGAGACATGCCCCAGCTCCACAGATGACCTCATAAATCTGAGGCTGATTTTGAGTCATTCCACTCCAAACAGAAACTCTAGAGCATTCCAGCCTCTGGCTGCCTGAGTTACACCTGGAAATTAGAATCTTCCGGCCGGCGCCGTGGCTCAATAGGCTAATCCTCCACCTTGCTGCGCTGGCACACCAAGTTCTAGTCCCGGTCGGGGTGCTGGATTCTGTCCCGGTTGCCCCTCTTCCAGGCCAGCTCTCTGCTATGGCCTGGGAGTGCACTGGAGGATGGCCCAAGTCCTTGGGCCCTGCACCCGCATGGGAGACCAGGAAAAGCACCTGGTTCCTGGCTTCGGATCAGCATGATGTGCCGGCAGCAGCACGCCAACTGCGGCAGCCATTCGAGGGTGAACCAACGGCAAAAGGAAGACCTTTCTCTTTGTCTCTCTCTCTCTCTCTCACTGTCCACTCTGCCTGTCAAAATAAATAAATAAGTAAATAAAAAGAATCTTCCTAGCTGAGGTCCCTCGACAGTGTGGAGGCAATGCCAGCAGACTGACTGTGCCCTGTCTAAATTTTTGATCTACACATTGCATGACCATCATAAAGTAGTCTCTGTGTGCTACTAAATTTTGAGATAACTTAACAGGAAGATATTTCTTGTGACTACCCATTAGCCATTCTGCCTTCTTCCTTACCGAATGCTGATTTTTTTATTTGGAGAGTTCTGTTTAAAACTACAAGAGCTCCCAGTTTCCCTGGAAGCAAAGAATGGCTAAGTTTGAGATGTCTGTCTTCTCTAACTTTTGTGGGATTTTTTGTTTGTTTGTTTTGTGCTGTATCCAGCACAGTAGGGTGTCAGGCTAAACCAAAAGAGGAATGGCATCACATAGATTAAAGAGGCAGACTCAGATCAGAGAGTCGAACATGGGAAACCAGGGGACACTCTGTCCACTGCCAAAGGTAGAGGCAGAGGCAGCAGTCCAAATGTCCAATTACTCCAACTATTTATTATCCATGGTGACATGATTGATTAATCATAAAAAATACAGTTTCATGAAAACATGATTTCATGATGAAGAAGTCTAAACATAGTGAAACAGGCAACAATGAGGAGTTTCCTTGTTTAAAGGAAGGACTTGTTTGCTTGGAAGCTGGGATAAGAGAACAATCACAATGTGGAGGGGTCTTGAGCAGGACTAATTATTAACTGGGACAAATCCCACTTGCTATTTATGGGAGCCCACAGCATTTCCTTAGCTGCTTCAGAATCATGTTGAATGACCTTTGCCATTACCATAACTTGACCGTTATGGATTTATCCATTAACATAATTTGATCCATTATGTACTGTCTTCCAAGGTCTGCATTAGCAGAAAACTGAAGTCAGAAGGTAGGGCCGAATATTAAATCCAGGTTACTCTGATAAGGGACTTGGAGATCCTAACCAGACCCTTATCCATAGACCCAAGCCCTGCCTCCCAAAAATATTTAGTTATGGTTTTTTGTTACATGGAGCCAAATATAACCAGTTGCCAAAAAAGATGGTTCATCAAGTAACAGAACCTAAAATTTTGCTGTTTGAATTTGTCTGACCAGTTTCGACTTCACAGAGAGGGCAGCAGAGAGGCCAGGATTCCAACAGCCCTCATGTTTGATTTATTGTCTTGTTATCCTTGTCTTACATTTTTAATAGGAGATTTATTTATTTATTTATTTATTTATTCATTCAAAAGGCAGAACAGCACAGAGAGAGAGAGAGAGAGAGAGAGAGAGAGAGAGAGAGAGAAAGGCAGACTGACTGACAGAGAAATTTTACATCTGTTGGTTCACTCTTCAAATGCCTACAATAGCTAGGGCCAGGGCAAAAGCCAGCAGCCAGGGAGTCCATCTGGGACTCTCACATGGGTGGTAGTGACCCAAGTTCTTGTGCTGTCATTTTAAGCTTTTACAGATATATTAACAGAAATCTGGATCAAGGGCCCGCATTGTGGCACAGTGGGTAAAGCTGCTGCCTGTAATGCCGCTGTCCAATATGGGTACTGGTTCATATCCTGGCTGCTCCACTTCTGATCCATCTCTCTATTAATGGCCTGGGAAAAGCACCAGAAGATGGCTGAGGTATATGGACCCCTGCCACCCACATGGGAGACCCAGAAGTATCTTCTGGCTCTTGGCTTCAATCTGGCCCAGCACTGGCTGATGTTGATGCAGGTAGGCAAATAGGATAAATTCCATCAGATTTGTGACCTGGAAGACCACACCTTCACCATGCCCCATGTCTGATCTCATGCCCCTGCCTGATCCGACCTGTACTCCCACTGCCAATCAGGTTACATAACTACTCCCCTTTGGAAGTAGATAAAAGACCTGGAGCATGGCGCCCCCCCCGCTTTGTTGCCCTTGTTGTCTGTGCCTTTGGGGCATGTGGACTTTGGGCCACCCCCTCCCTGCTTTCCTGCCTGCATGCTTTCTTCATGTGGCTTGCTCCTGGTCTGATCTCTGCTTGGTATGGACCCAACTTCCCAACTCAATTTCTAGACTTCTCTTTCTCCCCCAAATAAAGCCCTTGCTCTCCCACTTATTTCTCACACTGAATAAAACCCTTAAAACTTACCACGTTGTCTATTTGAGCCAGTATTCAGAATTCTTCTCTGAATACATGGCAAGAGCCTATGAGGCTTGTTGGTATTGAAAAAATATTAATAAGCAAGACAGTATCAATGTGGCTATCTGGGGAGTGAAACAGCAGATGGAAGATTCTCTCTCTCTCTCTCTCTCTCTCTCTCTCTCAGAATCTTTCTTACTTGTGTCGCTCCCCTGTCATAGTTCATCACTTATGCTGAAAATGGTGACATAGAGTGCTATGAACTGAATTGTATCTCCATAAAATTTACGTTTAAACAAATCCTAACCTCTAGTGTGACTGTCTGAAGAAACAGTCGTTAACAAATTAAGTTGATGCCGGTGCCGTGGCTCAATAGGCTAATCCTCCGCCTGTGGCACTGGAACACCAGGTTCTAGTCCCAGTCAGGGTGCCGGATTCTGTCCCAGTCACTCCTCTTCCTGTCCAACTCTATGCTGTGGCCTGAGAGTGCAGTGGAGGATGGCCCACTGTAGCTATTGTGAATGGGATTGATCTTAGAAGTTCTTCCTCAGCCGTGGCATTGCCTGTGTATACAAAGGCTGTTGATTTTTCTTCATTGAATATATATCCTGCTACTTTGCCAAACTCTTTTATGAGTTCCAATAGTCTCTTAGTAGAGTTCTTTGGATCACCTAAATAAAGAATCATATCATCTGCAAAGAAGGATAGTTTGAGTTCTTCCTTCCCAATTTGTATCCCTTTAATTTCTTTTTCTTCCCTAATAGCTCTGGTAAAACTTCCAGAACTATATTGAATAGCAGTGGTGAGAGTGGGCATCCCTGTGTGATACCAGATCTCAGTGGAAATGCTTTCAAGTTTTCACCATTCAATAGAATGCTGGCCAGGGGTTTTTCATAAATTACTTTGATTGTATTGAGGAATGTTCCTTCCATACCCAGTTTGCTTAGAGTTTTCATCATGAAAGAGTGTTGTATTTTATCAAAGGCTTGCTCTTTGTCTATTTAGATATCTGCAAAGCTCTCATTTGTGAATGAAAGTGAAATAAAGACCTTTCATAGCAAACAGAAATTGAAAGAATTTGTCGCCACTGGTCCAGCCCTGCAAAAGATGCTTAAAGATGTGTTATCCCTTTTAGAATTTTTTTTTGTTCTAGTTAATACCATTGATTGAACTCTGTAATTAACACACAATTATTCTTAGGTGTTTAAATTTTAACTGAAAAGTGATCCCTGTTAAATATGAGAGTGGGAATAAGAGCGGAAGGAGATGTTCAGTTTGGGACATGTTCAATTGGACTTGCCCCAAATGGTGGAGTTAGAAACGTGCCAGGGGATTCCAATACAATCCCATCAAGGTAACATGTACCCATGCCATCTCACTAGTCCAAGTGATCAATTTCAGTTCACAATTGATCACACTGATAGGTCTAAGAGTCAAAGGGATCACACAAACAAGACTAGTGTCTGCTAATACTAGCTGATAGAATCGAAACGGAAGAGAACGATCCAACATGGGAAGAGGGATACACAGAAGACTTGTAGAATGTCAGGTGTCCCAAACAACACTCTGGCCTCAGAATCAACCCTTAAGGCATTGCATTTGGATCTGGCTGAAGAGCCCATGAGAGTATTTTAGGCATGGAAAGCCAAGACACCCTGGAAAAAAACAAAAAAGAAAGAAAGAGGACCTAAATGCAAGATCTCTGTGAGTGAGATCCCAGTAGAAAGAACAGGGCCATCAAAGAAGGAGGTACCTTTCTCTGAAGGGAGGAGAGAACTTCCACTTTGACTATGACCCTGTTGGAATAAGATCGAAGTCGGCGAACTCAAAAGGTTTCCATAGACTTGGCAACTCATGACTAGAGCCTAGGGAGATTACTGATG